CAACCTGGTTGATTCTGTGATTCTAAAACCCTCTCTCATTTTTTTTACCTCTCTCTAGGCTTTTTTTTACAGCAATTTAGCACTAAGAAAAACCATCAGACAAGTGTAGCACAAGCCCTATCAACACACGTTTTCTTACTCTACCATGTCAAGATGACTTCAGTTTGATTTCAAAGGATCAGCAGCAGGTGAGAAAAGCAGCTCAAGCTACAACTGACAATACATCTAGCCTGATCTAACAGCTGACTTCAAAAACCAGGTCATACCATCCACTTCCTTCATGTTCACCCGACTTTGTGCATTACTGATGGGGATGAACAGTTACAACAAAATGGAACTTGCAGGCAGCACCTTTAAGTCAAGCAGCTAAAATACAGATATTTCTATGCACTCTAAGCTTGTATGAGCTCATAAGGAATGAAAAATAAAATAGGTCACAGTAGCTATGTTTAGTATCCAATCTAACAGTGGCTGCTTAGCCTCCTGTTACTCAGGAATAACAGAAAATTGCATCAGCACACTTGGTAGTCTGAATACAAAATTACCCTAAGGGAAAAAACTAACCAGGAAAAAAACACACAAATTACGTTTTCCCACAGAACAAAATATGAGGGAATTCTAGCTGGTTTCCTGCTTTTTCTCAATCCTGGAGGACTGATATCCTGTCTATATAAAAAAAACCCCAGATCTACCCTGTTTTTAATGGGCCTCTACTCTGGCAGAAAAGCTGCAAAAGTTATTTTTAATAAGAACTTAAATTACAGTATCTGGCAGAAAAATACTGTTTGCTTCCTGTCAGAGTGACAGGCAACATTAATTCCTAGCACTGCATCCAGAAGAAAAGGTGGGTTACATCATAATTATCCTACTCTACTCTCCAGAGATGGAGATGTGCAGGTAGGCGAACTAAAAATATAACTGCATTATGTCTGATCAAAGACAGCTGCAAGGATATGATGGCAGGTGAAGCACTGCTTTATGCTTTGCTGTTTCTTTCCTTCTAAACAGAGGGAATATCCAGGGTGAGGAAAGAGAAAACAGGTGCAGTTTTAGAATGCATTTTTGTATGACTTGTTTCCAGCTCATTTTGTCAAAGGAGAAGTAGAACTATAAGCAGGAAGCAGATGTAAAACCAACTTTCAAATGTAGCAGTCAAGCAAACAAATGGTGCACAATGGATTTAGAATCATTGAGATTTGAAGCCAAAGAACCATGAATGAAAATGCCAATTTTCTGTCTACAACACTTTGCATACATCACACCTGAATTGATTCATATTGACCAAGATTGGACAATGAGCATTACCATATGCTTCAAGGTCTCAAGTAACTCTGCACAGCAATTGTCCAGCTCTTCATTGTACTTTGGAGTTGGCTTTTCAGGTTCTGTGACACTGTCATCACATGCTACCTCCAGTTTGTTGTCTTGTAATCTAAAATAGAAGCATAAGGCAGAGTAAACAACTGCATATAGGTTTACTTGAACTGTGCAGATTTATAATCCATGTGGTCTGATCCCACAAAATCTCTCTCTCACAGGCTGTTCAGGGGAATTCCTACATAAAAATAGCACGAAGCATAGGATCCATGTGAGCAAATGGGGATGGCACCATAATCCTCAGAGGAACACAGAATTACTCCACCTTAGAGCATGTGCTTGGAAAAAACAGTTGCAGGTGTTAAGATAATACCTCTTTCCTCTTTGCCTTGTTGGAGGTTGTTCTCTCATAAAGGACAAGGTATGCTCAGGCTGCTCTGGGTGACAATCTGCTGCCTCACCACAAACTCACCTTTGTGCACAATTTAAGCCAAGACATTTCCCTGTGAACCCTGAGCAGCCAAAGCACAGACACCAACCCTGTCTGCCAGGCTATCCCACACCAGCTGTAAACTTAAGACACGGGAAGGGGGGGGGAGAAGGAGCTGCTAGAGAGCAAAAGCAACATCTGACACTATTACAGCAAAATATTCCTCATCTTGTACCTGTCAGAAGCCTGTCAGACAAACCCTCTGCAGCTGTCAGCGCTCTGGAGAAGCTTCTTCTCAAACCCATGTTAGTTAGAGGGTTTTATTTGCAGCATGATGATAACAGCTCAACCAAAGTGGGGTTTTTTTTCAGGTTTTCAGTGTGGGGTTGTTTTTGGTGGGTTTGTTTTTCTGTTTGGGGGGTTGTTTTTTGTAGTAGTATGTTTTATTTATTTGCTGTTTGTTGGGTTTTGGTTTAATCATCACTATTACAACCTTTTTGTCTGTATAGATCACTGATTCTTTCTTAAAATCTGCTTCTCTTTTGATTTGAGTGAAACTTGCTAATATTTGCCTCAGTGTAAAATATGCAATGAACTCACATGGGCTGAGATTTATAGAATTAGACTAACTTTGTACATTATATAAATATTTTAAATATATGTTGTGCTTGGCTATGTAAAATAAACATCTCCCATTTCTTGCAATCATTACCTTATGAGATTATCTTAATCTTTATGAGACATTTACTATTTGAATAGAAATAGTTTATGGAACCAAAAAAGTGCAACTGCTGAGTTTGATCGAAGAGTTAGCTTATCCACTCCGACAAATTCTTTCTCCCCATCCCCCAGAAGAACTTCCTAGTGACTAAACCAGATCAATCTCTCAATAAAGGAGATCTTCATGCTGTCTCTACTAGTGTGTATTAGCATACTTACTGCTCACTAATCTTCATGTTGACTATTTTGTTTGCGGTGGTAAATCCTTGATCATTCAGCCTCTCCCACTTCATCATTAAATTATGCCAGTCTGCTGCATTATCTTTAATTTTTCTTGCACTGACAGGTAAAACAGGTCTTCTTGGAGTGCTATCAGCAGGACTTTTTGCTGTGGGAGAAAATAAAGAGAGTGAAGCATTCAGAAACAAATCATGTCTGGCAGCAGTTTGTGTGAATGATTTCTTTGCTTTGCTGGTGAATATTGATTAAGTAAAATGGAATTTACATTAACTTGGGAAGGAAGTGTAATTTCTCATCTATCAGCATTATTACTAGAAAATCAGGTGGGTAAAGAGCCACAAGCACATCCTGAGATGTGATATGGAGTGCTGATGAACCTGCCTGTGTGTGACAGTCAGATATTAACACAGAGTGTGATGGTAAGAAGTCTTGGCAATGATTTGCATGCAATGCTCATGCCACCATGGGCTGAATCAAACCACAGCACCACACCAGCTGGAAGAGTTTGAGAAAAGGCTGTGTCCTACTGAAGATGTCACTGAGACTGGGAGGAGAACTCCTTAACACCAATTTAGTGTTAAGAATAGGCATTAGTGCAGCAAGGAGGATGCACTACTAAGCATCCCTAGCTCCAAACACTCTTTTACACACATGCATCACACAAATTCAGTAATTCCCATACATTCAGATGAATTATTTTCCTAGAATCATTGTCCTAACCCCTCCCCTCATTATTGTGCATGCTCACTAAACTGAGGTGGTGGTCCCAGGGATCTGCTTTTATGACCAACCAGCAGCTCAGTTTGTGAACTTTGACTGTCCTCTCTGTATTTTAGTCCTTTTATTTCAGAGTTTTTGCTCCCCCTGTCCGTGCTCTGTTCATAGAAGCATAGAATCAACCAGGCTGGAA